CAAGGTGGATGGATTTGAATCGCTGAGTTGCCGACTTTTCTGATCAACAAACTCAGCGTCTTAGCCACTGAGCCACCGCGTCCCTTTTCCATTGACTGATATGTGCCACCAATTCGTTATTGACCAAACACACAGATTTTCTTGATGATGATGTGTCTCTAATCTGGTCTTTCAGATCTTCCAGTGTACACAGTCATTGGCACTATAAATAAATCCATCCACCTTGGTATTGTTTATCTTCTTGTCCTTCCTTCCACTTTTCCCAGCATTAGAGCCTTCTCTAGAGAGCTCACTCTGCATAATGTGTGGTAAAATAAATTAGGATAATTGAGCCTGGTCATTTATGCTGCAAGTGAGTATTCTGGGTTGTTCAACAGTCCATTTGTTTGTTTCCTAGCCTGTTAACTCTTAGTAGCCACATGGATGGGCCAACTTCTCCAGGATGATCTATTGCTATCATGGCCCACCAAGATTCCCAAAGGTGCATCCATTACTGCTATAATCAGATCTATCCACCTTGCTGTTAATTGCCTTTTTTTTGTTTTCCTTCCTACCTTTTCAGGAATTTTAGACTTCTCAAAGAAGCAAAGACTTTGCAAAACTTGTCCAAATTATGATAATTTGTGCCCTCATGTAAGAACGCTGGATAGATTGTATAAAAAGTACAAATCAAAATCAACTTTTGCAGAGTTGTTTACAAAGACTTTTGAGGATTGCAGCCAAAGCTCTGACGAAGGGTGCTGGTTTTGTATCCGTGTTTATACTGTACTGAAAAGTCAAAAAATACTGTTACAACACCAGTAAGTATTGGTAAGTATTATGGGTGCCATTAGAACAAATGATACTGTATCAAAGGTTTGGCATATGCAGCTCGTAACTACTGCTCTTGTTTGTGGGTCTGGAAAAACATCAGCTTTCCTTATTCACTGAATTATTTAAAATACAAAACATGCACTGTGTTCCAGGCTAAAAACCACAGAAAATAGCATGTACAAGTATAAACATTTTGGAAAAAACATAAACAATTGTTTGAAAGATCACATCTAGTATGGTACTTTCAGCCCATCACTGTTTCTTCCAACTTTGAAGAGAGAGCTTACATTTGTCTGCCGAAGAGCATTCTCTTCAAATTGTTTTCCCTCACTTGGCAGACAAGAATTGCTTTGTGTTCCCCACATTGACAAATAAATTAAAAATATATGTCAGTGCATGGCATCTACTTGAGAAATAAAATGTAAAATATGTTCATACAAAATGTATTATTTGTAAAGCAGTGTTTGTTTTGAATTTAAACTGAATCTCTAAAATGTTCTTAGAATAAGCTTTTCAGAGTCTACTAAAATTATTAAGAACTAATTGTTCACAATTGTTGACTGCTTGCTATTCTAGCTTATTCCATTGTGGCTCAGGTTTTTTTTTCCTGTTCTGCCACAACATAGTTATGATCCTTAATTTATTTAATCCTGTCTTTGGTACTTCTCTGGTGCTTTGCAGATATATTGGGATTGGTTTATTGAGTGCAAATTCTATAGTTAGGGTTAGGGAATCACTTTTTCTCCTCCTCCTCCTCCTCCTCCTCCTCCATCATCATCATCATTGTATCCTGACATCCCTGCTTTGCTGTTCCAAATGGGTGTTTGCCATCAAGACACTGCAGGCAATGGTGTTTGTAAGGAATAGCCATATCACTGTAAGCAGTCTTCCTGCATTATCTTTATTTAGATTAACCTAAAAATTGAGTGTAGTATCAATTATCAATCAAGTTTTCTATTCTAGGCAGTCCCCATATTAAAACACCTGCTTTAAGAATAACTCCTAGATATGTATGGGCTGCCTGTTGCTAAACATGTGGGCAGTATTCTCCCCTCCCTCAAGCCGACAAAGTCCCGAAGCCACACAATGCTTTCAGGAACTGCAGAAGCGACATATTTTTAGCTTATTTTCAGTGTTTTTCAGGGGTTTCCGGAAACATTGTGTGGCTCAGGGAAATACAATGCCATCACCATTTTTAATAACAGGCAGTTCTTTAAGTTCTAACTTAACTACAAATTCAGGTTAAAGACAAAGACAGAATTAGAGAATGGAACAATTTTAATCCAGAGGTTACTTGAACAGCTAGTTCCTTCCATTCATATCAGATTGCTTTATTTAGCATTAACAAAAAAAATTCCCCATCTTTATTTTGGCTATTCTGAGAAATTCTAAGAAACAGTTCTGTGAAAAAATTCCTTTTGTCATATCCTCCTGGCTTTTTCACCTTCTGCCATAGATCTGTGAAGGTATAGAAGTCATTGCATAACTCAAGTGTACACATCCACACACCTATTCCTCTTGATGTCACTTTTTTCTGAATTCATTTTTTCTCACACTGCTTTTATGACAGTTCTTTCAAGCGGTTGTTTCTAAAGGCTCCCAAGTATAATGCACTTCAGAAATTTGCAACAGAATCCATTTTAATAGTAAGTGCTGCTAGGTGAAGGAACCCTTTGCTTTTATCAGTAGAGAAAACCACAAGGTCTCTCTACTGGCATTATGGAATTATGAAAGAGATTTATTCTTTTTATTTTTTATTTTTTATTTCCCCCCATGCCAATCCTTTTTATTTGTTTAAAATATTAAATGCAAAAATACAAAAGCAAATAATAGGAAAAATAGGCAAGGGAAAAGGGAAGAGAAAAGTGTAGAGAAGAAAGAAAAAAGAAAGAAAAGGCATTGACTTCAGACTTCCTTTGGTGCAATAAAATAAGAAATAACATTGAACCTCAACTTTTTACTTTCATATAGTAGAGATTTATGAAATGGATTAGATTGGGCTCTCTGGAAAGATCAGGGTTGAGCAAACCATCAAAATGTCAATGGGATTCA